TATATGTTTTAATAACATTTTAATTAAGAGAAACATTTTGATTCTTTTGTTGATGCTTTTAATTTATACCATAATTACTTTATGTAATTACGCGAAAAAAATAATTTAATTATGTGTTAGTGACAAGTTTTAAACAAAATTTATTGTTCCAAATTAAACAATCGCATGCTTTAGTTTAATTTTAAAGATATCAATAACCTTTGATCATTAAATCACGCATTAAATATTTAACAGCATAGTATCAGTATAAAAATATAATATAAAGCATTACATGCATCACTGTAATGTTTTCATTTATAATTTACTTTTTTTTTAATAAAAAATATTAAAAAATTTTATCAAAGGATAGTATTTTGTTGAGCACAAAATCGTTAAAGTATTCATTTTTATTAAGTTTTGGCATAACCGTAACTGTTAGAAAAAAATATTCTCAAAAAATAGAAGTTCAATAAATAATTCATTGAACAAATTAGTTTAACAATAAATGAATAAAGTTTGTCTACAGTAAAAAAATAAACAACCATTCTGTTCTGTTAAAAAAAAACGAGAGCCGAGAGCCGCTCGATTTTTGCGGCTCCGGCTCCACCAAAAAACACCGGCTCCATGGCTCTGGCTCGGCTCCACAAGCCTGGTTACTACGTTGCATATATAGACCTTATGACATTAATGAGATTGTACTAACTCAAACAATTAAATCAGTTGCAGTGGCCAAACTCATGTTTACCAATAACTGGTTACCATGCTATTATATGGAACTTTTAAGTCTCATCAACATATGCAATCTAGATTAATCTAGGTTATTAAAAATTCTGTTACAGAACACATACTGTTGACTGTTCTAATAAAAAAAAGATGATGAAAATAAAGGTTAAATAGTCAAAATTAAAAACCAACTGCATCAACCAAAGATTATCTCATGAGGTTCATGTCATAAGGTAGACTCATCAGCAGAGTTTAGTAGTTTTTCAAGGCCGGTCCAACAGTGATCTTGTGAACAAAATAGAGACCAAAGGACTATTGCTCTTGATACCTGCAATCAATCAAAGAGAGAGCAAAATGTATTGACAGAAACTATTAAATTAGTATAATAGATGGGATCAAAAATACCAAAGTACCAGAAGTTAATGTACCCAGCCAGTTTGTTACTTAAAGCCCTACTACTGTAGAAACACAGAACAATAGATTTTCAAGTTTAGGACGAATTATTAATTGATCAAAATACTTTAACAACTGCATTACTTATTAGTTCAGCGTTTCTCTCATTGAAAAAAGTAATTCCCATTGACAAATTCAAAATATAATAATTATAATCAGTCAAAAACAGAAAATTTGGGTTATTTGGGTCAAAAAACCATTACTATACACAGGCTTGGTCATGAAGGCGTGTGATCGCGCGCCATTATATCACCACGCAAATAATACTTTAGTTTGATGATTTGACCACGGTTTTTATCATTTTAAAAATGCACTAAAAGAATTTATTTTTACTTACGTCAAAAATAAATAACTTTGAAACTTTTATCTCTATTAGCGTTTTTATATTAGCGAAATGCTTTAAATAAAGTAACAGTTACTGTTAAAGTTTTAATTTAAAGAATAGATAAGTTGTATAAATTTTTATTTATATTATTTAAATATATATAAGATTATATAATTAATAAATAAAATAATATGTAAGATTTTGTTATAATTAATCTTATTAATTTTTTAATTATTTAAATTTTAAAAGCGACAACTTTAAACAACGATTGCCTCTTTAATAAACTTTATTTAAGAATTGTTAAAGTTAATACATTCAAAAAGATTTTGTTTAGAAGAAAAAAAGAAAAACTTTTGAATTAAAAGCAGTCGTTTGAATTGAATAACTTTGATCTTTACCAATATTTTGATATTATTAAAACGGTTTTAAATAAAATTCACTGCTTATGATTTTGTACATAAAGTATTAATAAATTTTTCTTTAATCTTTAAATTAAAAAAGTTATCAATTAAATTGTTAACAAATTAAATTAAATTATCAATTAAATAAATTTTTGTGAAATGGGTTTCCAAAAAAAAAGCGTTATTAATAAAAAGTTTCGTCGTTAAGTTTAATCATTGTTTTTTTTTAAATACCACAAATGCACGATTATGTTTTCTATAAAAACAAAAGTGTTTATTTATATTTTTTGTTGATTAGTACTATTTATTTCTTATTTTTTTACTATTAATATAATTTTATATAGTGCAGTAACAAAGCAGACGGGATACTATTAGTTTTACATTATAAAAACATTAGTAAAGATTTAAAGTTATTTATTTCAAACGTAATTATCTTATTTAAATATAAACATAATTAATTTATTTTAGTTAAGTTTTTATTTTATTTTTTTTTTTAGTTATTTATTACTAAGCTACTTTTATTTTTATTTTTTTCATTGTTTTTTTTAATAAGATTTTTTTTTTAATAAAAGCGCTTAATAAATAGTCAAAGCTATAGCGCTTTATTAAAAAGTTAAAACTGTGGTCAAATCGTCAAAACAAAATATTATTTGCATGGTCATATAAAGCCATGAAATTGCACGCCTTCCTGACCAAGCCTGCTATTCAAAAATTCAGGTTTTTATTATTTATTTTTTTAAATATGGTTTTTTTTTAATTAAAAAAGTATACTATAAGCTCAAATACTAAAGTTTTGATTTTAGTCAATATTAATTCGGTCACTTCATTCGGTCCTAACTTTTGAACAAATTAATCAACTGAGCTGCAAGTTCTGGGTTCTTTTTTTATATATATAAAATATGAGACCGTTTCTCTCATTGAAAAAAGTAATTCCCATGGACAAATTCAAAATATATTAATTATAATCAGTCAAAAACAGCAAAATTGGGTTATTTGAGTAAAAAAAACCATTACTATACAAAAATTAAGGTTTTTATTTATTTATTTTTTAATTATGGTTTTTTTAAATTAAAAAAGTATACTGTTAGCTCCAAACACTAAAGTTTTGATTTTAGTCAATATTAATTCGGTCACTTCATTCGGTCCTAACTTTTGAACAAATTGATCAATTGAGCTGCAAGTTCTTTTTTTTATATAAAATTGTTGTTCAAAATATGAAGAGGTGGTACCCATAGCAACTTTTAAAAAGAAAGTTTATTTTACATGGAATAACAAAGAGCTTTTAAAACATTTTCATTAAAGATTTTTTTTTGGTTCATTGTGAATAAATTTGTTAAAAGTTTAAAAAATAACAATTCAAAATTGCACTGAAAAAACTATGTTTTGAAAATTATTTTAAATTTTTTGAACAAATTACTTTAAAACTTCAAAGTTTTTTAACATTTAATATTTTTTATTACACAAAATGCTTTTAAATAAAGTTGTCTTAAACTGGTCAACAAGAGTTTGTTACAAAAACAGTTTATTACTTTTGAATTACCTCCCTACTTTTTTTTACGCTATGTTTATTTAATAACTATATTTATTTTATTTTATCAGGTCTTTACAAAATTAAAAATAAACTTTAGTTTTACTTTTGAATTATTTATTAAGAATTTATTTATTAGAAGAACGTTTTGTTTTCTTCTGTTTGTTTTTTAAGTGAAGTGGTTTATAATATCATAATCTAAAAAAAAAAATCAGGAAAATATATTAATGATTTTGGCAAGTTCTCAGCAAAGGAACTTGACACCATTAATATTGGTGTCAATATTAATGGTGTCAGTCTGATTTATCCACCTTCTGACATAAAACTTAGAAAGTTAACTAGTTTGGCGTATTCGTATTTTATTTGAAAAATAATTTTTGTTAATATTTGTTCTTGAATTTTATTGAAATATATACCATAAACTAGGTTAACCAATATTTTTTGGGAAATACTAAAAGGTTCATTGTTTTTTTGTTTTTTTCATTTTTAACATTAAAATAAATTGAAATTTTGTTTTTATGGGGTGTTTGTTAGAAGATTTGTTTTCACTCTTCTATATAGTAGACCATTTTATCAGTCTTGTCTTAAAAAACATTATATTTTTTCTTAACATAAATTACAAATATTAGTATTTGTATTTGGAAAATGACGATTGCATATAATTGTATTTGAATTTGTATTCAGAAATCTATGTTTTGTATTCTATGATTTGTATTTGATCAAATGTAATCAACGATCTTCAAATGTAATCAACAAATGTAATTTAAATCTATGTCTTGTATTTGATCAAAGTTTGATCTCAACCCTCATGGTAGAGCACTTGCTTTGTAAGTTCTGAGTTTAATTCCTACCGCGTCTCTGGCAGTACCACATTCATCTTGTTTCCCTGTGCAGCGGTCTTGTTCTTTAAAGTTTGTTTCAGTGTAAAAGATTTAGGGGAGGGTTGTAACCACAATTTAAAAAAATAAAAAGAGTAGCTTCCTAGATTGTAGTGGCCCTTCAGCCCTATAGAGGTGAACTAAAAAAGGTTTTAATTTTAAATGCTGCACTTTTTATCGAACTATCGAGAGTTGCGATTTGAGACTACAAACTATCAAGAGTTGTAATTTGAGACTATGAACTATGAGCATTGCAATTTAAGACTATTAACTATTGAGAGTTGTGATTCTAGACTATGAACTATTAAGAGTTGTTATTTGAGTATGCGATTCTAGACTATAATATTTATTATGCGATTTGAGTTGCAATTTGAGACTAGAAACTATTGAGAGAAGAAATTATTTTTCAAAAAAGATGGAATATGTTATTTATTAAATATAATACTAGAGTCACATGCATGGAGGTGTGCACACTTTTCCTGGCCACATATGCACCATTAGACAATAAAGACAATAATGTCAATATATTTTAATATATTTTTTTAATATAGGCCAATATATTTTAATTAAATTAAAATATATTGGCCATTTTGTTTTTATTGTCTGATGATGTTCTTAAGTCTCGATACATAAAAAATATAAAATAAACAAAAGTTGAATAAATTATTAAAAAAAAAGATTTTGAATATAAGTTTTAACACTTTTTTATTTAGGGAGTAACTGATGTGTTGTGTGAGTCTTGTTTACGACTTGGGTGGACCCATCCAACAAAAATTCAACGAGAAGCAATACCTTTAGCATTAGAAGGTTTTTTTTTATTTTTGAAATTGTGTAAAAAATGAGTAATTAATTTTTTTATGAGGTTAGCTTCAATCGTTTTTGTTTTGATTGAAAGTAAAAATTTTGTTTTAATTTAAAATAATCAGTTTCAAAAAGGGAGCGAGATGTATATAGATAGACAAATTAAACTTAGGATGTGTTCTTAGGATATGTTTATATTTTTTTGGAAATTTTTATTTTTTATGTTATTTATCTTCTTAAAGGCTGAAAAGACCACTATTGTTGAGGAGGGTTTTTGTGTGTGTGTGTGTGTGTGTGTGTGTGTGTGTGTGTGTGTGTGTTAGTGTGGTTACAAATCTAATAAGAAGACAAAATGAGCATGCTACTACCAGAAACATGGTGGGGATTAAACTTGGAACTTTTTTCCACTATACCATTACCATATTTTATTATATTGTATTAACTCTGTGGTGGTAAATGCCTAAATATTCAATACAATTATATATATATTAATCTCTGTTATTAATTAATTTATTCAACCCGAGGTTGCATAAGTTGTACATACTATTATGTTATATTAACTAAATTAACTTAAATAGTTTTGTTTTCTAATTATTATCTTCCTCCAACATAAACTTTAAAAGTTATATATTGCAGTTGTGGGATATGCAAGAAAAGTTCTTTTTGTTATACATATTGGTTTTTTTATGTTTAAAATTATTTTCATGTCCATTAAGGTAAAGACATTATTGGGTTGGCTGAGACTGGATCTGGGAAAACAGGTGCATTTGCACTTCCTGTTTTGCAAACATTACTTGACAATCCACAACGACTTTATGCACTAGTAATTACTCCTACAAGGTATCAATTTATTTCTTTTTACTTTCTTTGTCACGTTTCTACTTAATATTGTATACAGCATTTCTAAATATTATATGTTTATAAATTTGATTTTAACACATAAAATTAAGTTGAACTAAATGATCAGGTAGAACATATTATAATTATTTTTTCCCAGAAAGAAAATCTTTTTTTATAATTGTTGTGTTTGCTACCAGGGATGCAAAGTCCTAAAAGGACTCTGCATCCCTGGTAGCAAACATAAACTTTTATATTTTTGCCTGGTAGCAAACATAAACTTATTTATATTTTTAGAGCTCCAGGATACCGAAATTAGGATGAAGTAATCTTTTTGTCATTTTCAAATCCCAAGTCCTTTTTGGGACTCCGCATCCCTGTTTACTTCATTGAATCAATTTTTGAAAATAAAATCTTGTTCAATAGGACTAAATATAAAAAACCCACAGTTTTTTTTTGTAGAAGTTTATTCTACCACAAGTAAAGTTTGAAGATAATAAGTCTTGAAGCATATCATATCAGGTATGATTCATTGACAAGTGTGCTTGAATATTGAATCGCTTAAACTTTATAAGCTCCTATCAGAAGTTGAAAATTTCTGATAAAGTACTTTAACAGTAAAAAGAAGCTTAATGCTACTAGACTTTAGTTGATGTAGTTTCATGCATTGATCACCCTTAATACAAGAAACTGCATCTTTAACTAAAATCATCGATAAACTAAACAAGGGTTAAATAATTGCAAGTTGAAATATCTGAAAAATTTCTGGTCCTCAAAGTTTCAGTTTACAGAAAACTGTGAACACTGTTGTTGAAGGGGTGAATTAACATGAGTTTATTTGCCAAAAAACAAAAGAACACAATAAATTTATGACTACAAAAGTAACTAACACTTACTTTTAAAATCAAGCATTTCTTAAACTATTACTTATTGTCCAGAAATACTTTTGTTTATTTAAAAAACAACCAACAAAAATTCTGCTAATTTTTTTATTAGCAGGAAAATACAATTTTATAACTTTAATGTTGTTAATCAGGGCAAAATAAGCGCCTGACATTGGACATTGTCTGGCACTTGTCCAGTAAAAAATGACATACATTGGTCATTATTTTATGTGCATTTATTTTCTAATCATTTTAATTGTTCCAAAATTATTAATAAATTCAGTACATAAATACAATACTGAATTAAAGTTATATAAACTTTAATTTTTGATTTGTTAAAATACAGTATATAAACTTTAATTTTTGTTATTTTTTATACAAAACAAAATTGAAGTTAAACACACGAATGACTTAACAAAATACATCATTTTTTTTAGTTAATTTATTTTTTAAAAGATGCCAAAGCATTGCATTTTTTTGAATTAAGTAGCCCGGTTTTTATCATTTATATTAAAACTTTGCAATTAGTTATTAATTTAAATTATATACGTTATTTAACTATAAAGATAAGATTATTTAAGTTACATTTAAAAAATCTTAAATATTGGACATATTATTGACATATTTAAAAAATCTTAAATATTGGACATATTATTAACATATTTAAAAAATCTTAAATATTGGACATATTATTGACATATTTAAAAAATCCTAAATATTGGACATATTATTGACATATTTAAAAAATCTTAAATATTGGACATATTATTGACATATTTAAAAAATCTTAAATATTGGACATATTATTGACATATTTAAAAAATCTTAAATATTGGACATATTATTGACATATTTAAAAAATCTTAAATATTGGACATATTATTGACATATTTAAAAAATCTTAAATATTGGACATATTATTGACATATTATTTACAAAAATCTAAATATTGGACATATTGACATATTATTTTTAAAATATTAAATATTGGGCATATTATTGACATATTATTTACAAAAATCTAAATATTGGACATATTATTGACATATTATTTTAAAAATCTTAAATATTGGACATATTGACATATTATTTTAAAAATTTTAAATATTGGACATACTATTGACATATTATCAAAAAAATCTTAAGTATTGGACATATTATTGACATATTATTTTAAAAATCTTAAATATTGGACATACATTTAAATATTGGCAGTTTTTTAGAACTTAGGTATAACATTTTTTTCACAATCACTTTTCACAATCATTATTAAGAGTTTTTTAAGTCAGAGTATTTGTGTGAAAAAATGTTTTAATTTTTTTTTTTTTGAAAAATTTTTCTGAAATATTTAGCTTTATCTTTTTCAAATAATTTTTCAAAAAATAAAAAAAAATTCAATTTGAAAAAATCATTCAAGCAATTGACAAGAATTATAAAAAGAATTTGTATTATTTTCACACTGAGATTTATTTTCTAGTATCTTTTTATCAAGACAATCAAGATTTTTCAAGTATTTAGTTGTTCTATTTTTATTTATTTTTTAACTTTAAATAACATTAACTCTTTATTATTAATAGGGAGTTAGCATTTCAAATTTCTGAACAATTTGAAGCTTTAGGTTCTTCAATCGGCATAAAATGTGGTATGAAATTTTTGATAATTTTTTGAATTTTAAATATTGAGGTTGTTAATTGTATAGATTGTTTAATCTTTTTGCTACTGGCGCATATAAAATTAATGTACCATAAAAATGTAGAGAAAAGTCATAATGATTTTTATTTGATGATTTTCTTAAATTTTTACATCTTGTTTTCAGCTGTCATTGTTGGTGGAGTTGATTTAATGACTCAAAGTTTGGCTCTCACAAAAAAACCTCATATTGTTATAGGTTATTATTTATTGTTAAAAATTTCAATATGAATATTATTATGTTGTACTGTTACTCTATTTTTTTTTTTTTTATATTTTCAGAGATGCATAGTCTTAAAAATGACTCCAGATTTGAAAAGCAAAATTTTTTTTTTTTTTTTTTTTAATTTTTTTTTTATTACAGTTTTTGTTATCCAGGAGTTCTAAAAATGTAAATAAGCTTTTGGACAACTTTTAAAAAAAATTAAGATATTTAGGCTAGAGAAACAATCAATTTTTAAATTGTATTGTGGCGGCAAGTACTCTAGGACTCTGATGCTCAAAAATAATATGTTCCAAGTCATAAAATCTCATAAATTTTTTTCTTAATGCAGATTATACGTCAACCAATATTTTTAGAGCTTAGGGATACAAGAGACCAGGCAGAGATATAAAGCTGGAGTTCTTTTGGGACTCTGCTTCCCTATCTATTTTATTATTGAATTTACAAAAATGTTTAATTTGATAACAGCAACACCTGGGCGATTGGTAGATCATTTAGAGAATACAAAAGGTTTCAGCTTACGATCTTTGAAGTACTTGGTAAAAATATTTTTTCTTTAATTGCATAAACATTGTGCTTTGTCTTTTTTATTAATGTAGAAAAAACTTTTTGTTTTATTGGACTATAATGTTATATTAGAACAATTTGTACATTTGCACTGTATAGGTACACCCTACTGTGAAGATATACATAAAAAATATAATTAAGTTCTATGCAAGTTTTAATTTTGTGATTAATCAGTTATTCGCAAGAACTTAGACTTTATTAATAGGATATGGGACTTTAGTTTTTGAATTATAAAAGTATATCTTAATAATTTTACTAAATAAAAAGTAAAGTAGAGTGCAAATGATCATAGAAGTTTTATGCCAAAAAATGCCAACACAAAAAAAAAACAAGATGTCCACTTAATGTTGAATTTCACAAATTTATTCTATGATTATTTTGTTAGTGATAGTTCCTTAGTTCCTAGTACTTGGGTTTTTAGTCACCTGTTTGTTAAAATGCTACTTATTGAAGGTTTAATTTAGTTTTTTTTTTAGTGAAAAAACTGTTAATGCAATATAAAATTACAAACCATTCCTGGCTGAATTTTAGCTTTTTTTTAAACCAAAAAAGGTTTTGTTCAAATTGTAAAAGAAATGCTGTTTATTTTAAATTGCTTTAAAAGTGAAATAAGTTTATCTATTCATTGAAATGAAGTGAGAATCTGTCATGTTATTATGTAATTAGAATTTTATTAATTAAATGATTAATTAAATGAGATGTGTATAATTTGATAATTTATAATATATATCTATACTAAATAATTTATAGTATATATTTAAATACAATATATATTTATAATATATTCTGTTTATATTAGTTGTATAGTTCACTAATAATTGGATTATTTAATTTTAGTAATTTTTTTTTTATCTTTTTTTACCTCTCATTTGTTTAGATAATGGATGAAGCTGACAGGATCTTAAATATGGATTTTGAAGAAGAAGTAAGTTGTGGGAATTCTTATTGGAATGTTGTAATCCTTAATCATAGCTTTTTTGCCAAAAGGTCTTATTTTGAGCCTTAGTAATGGGGTTGATACTTGTTTTTTTTTTTTGTTTGCTATTGGCTTTAAAACAGTCAAACTAGCATTGACCTTAAAGCTGTCAGGCAAATTTTTTTTTGAAAGGGTACATTTCCAGAAGTTTTATGTTGATCATTCAGCATTATAAACGCAGTTGTTAAAGAAAAAGCAAACCTTTTTGATACTTCAATGTAGTCTACTATAGCATTAGTAAAGTATCTATTTATGGAGCTAGGTGTATTCCATTACCCAGTTATGAAGTTTAAAGGGATTCAATTTGCTTATTTATTATAGATGATAAAATATTTTTTTGTTTACTTTATATTCAGATTGATGTTTGAACATAAGTAAAATATTGCATAGCAAGAGTTTGTATCAACCTTGTTGTTATTGTATGCATTATTTAAATTATGTTCTTGTATTTAAGAAATTCCCCAAAATAAAAAAGTTTAAATTTTACCCTAAATAACCTTCAAAAAATTTAAATACAAAACTATTTTAAAGATAAAATGTCATACAATGTATTTTATAATTTATAACAAATAAGTTAATTGAATCCCTTCCATGTTTCTAACATAAAACTTTTAACCAAGGTAGCATAAAACTTTGGTAACCAAGATAACGTAAAACTTTGGTAACCGAGGTGACATAAAACTTTGTTAAGCTAATTACATGTCAGTTATAGAAACTTAAAGTAATGAAAATAGTTTAAGTGTTTAATTTAAGAAGAAAAACTTGAAATAATATTAAATAAAGTATAATAATGCTTGTCATTTTGCAGAATAAAGCCTTGTAAAAATATTATGAGTATGGAAAATTGTTCAATACTTTTTTGTATTTATACTTCCTTTTTTTTGACCACCAACATTTGCTTCCAATAATTATCTATTTTTGCTAGTTTATTAAATATTATAAGTATGAAAAAATATTCAATACTTTTTTTGTAATTATACTTCACTCTTTTGACTTCCAACATTTATCTGTTTTTGCTAATTTATTAACCAAAAAGTTTTTTTCCAAAAGGATTTTTATGAAGTTAAAAATTGATATATACAAAATGGTAATTTAATTAAATGATAACGGCAATTAACTGGTAAATTATAATTAATAGCAATTGTAAAAAATGATAAATTTTTTTTGTTGATAAAGCTTTTAAGTTTCAATGATCTAAATTTTAACAATTTTTCACACTAGTTAGTTAAAAAAATTAATTCTTTTACAAAAAATTTTTTCAACTAATTTGAGTTTGTAGGCTTTAAGGTCTTGTAAAAGATAATCATTGCAACAATAGATATTCATAGCAACAATAAATATTCATAGCAACAATAAATATTCATAGCAAAAGAGCAAAATTTGTGTTAAGATGATTAATTTTTAACTATAACTTTTTCAGCTTTTATATTGTTAAAAAAAGTTTACTCATACTTTTACATTTTTTATGACCTTAAAAAGAAAATTTAGAATTATTCAATACTTTTTAGTAACTTTAATTTTAATAGTACAAGTATTTGTCTATAAAAATAATGTCAACTTTCTTTCGACTTTTTTTCTTTTTTTTATCTTTCTTTACATATAGAGTTTTAATTATTACGATTTTCTTGATAATCTTAGTTTTATCATACAAAATTGAAGTTTTTAAACCTATCTATTGTAGTAATAATATTGTTGGTAATTTAATTGTGATAATTAATGTTCAAGTGTTTAGTTTTTATAATTTTGTTTATTATTTTTTGTTTATTATTTAATTGAATTATTTAAACCTGTTTTTGTAAGAAATTTATTTGTTCAACAAACCTCTGGCAGTACAGTTTGAGTTAAATTTTTTTCTTTTCTGTTTTTGTAATTATCAAGGTTTTGTTCTTGTAATTATCAAGGTTTTGATGAACCTTTGTGTCTGAAATCAAATTTTTGAAGAATAAATAAAATAAATGATTAATCACTTTTTTTTTGAAATTTTTTTTGAAATTTTTTTTTGAAATTTTTTTTAGGTAAACAAAATTTTAAAAGTGATTCCCAAAGAGAGAAGCACTTATCTTTTTTCTGCAACAATGACAAAAAAAGTTGCTAAATTGCAAAGAGCATCATTGAAAAATCCAGTCAAAGTTGAAGTTTCCACCAAGTTAGTTCATATATAAATATATTTTATCTTTTTAATTCATCAAATTTATATTAAGTTAACAAATTAATTATTTAGATTTCAAACAGTAGAAAAACTTCAGCAAAGCTACATATTTATACCAAATAAATTTAAGGTATTTTTTATAGTTTAAAACAAATTTTTTTACTTTTTTTTTTTTGTTTAATAAATAAGTCAGAATAACACATACCTAGAATTTTTTTTTTCATGGGCACCTTTAAAATAAACTTCAGAGTCTTTTTAAATTAAATTCAATTTAAAAATTAAATTTAGATTTATTATATTTTCTTAAAAAATATATAGAATAGTTCCTGCATAAAAATCTTTTTCTGCAGTAAATTGTTGTCTTTACAATATCATTTTCTTCAAAATACTTTTCATTTGTACATCATCATCATTATTACATCATCATCATTATCACAACATTTTTTTCAAAATATTTTTCATTTATATATCATCATCATTATTAAATTTATAAAAAATGTTAAAATGAGTTAAAAAGACATTTAAAAAATAAAAAAATCTTTTTTGATAAAAATTTAAAATATGTTTTACATGAAAAAATGTTTACAATACATTAAAATATGTTTATATGAAGAAAAAAAAAATGAAAAAAAGAAACTAAACTAATAAATAAAAAGAAAATATTTAGCTAAATATTTTTATTTAGCTAAGACTTTAGCTTGTTTTTTCAAAATTGTCATGATAAAATAGGGTAATGGTATTTGGCCAAATTTGCTTTTTTAAAAATCTAATTATCTAGTTACATGAATTTATAATGTACACGTTACTTTCCAACAACTTATAATGTATTAGGTTGGTTAGTTTGCAGAGCAGGGATAAAAAAAAAGTGCAAAACTAAAAAAATACCTTTAGTCTTCAGTGTATTCTCCCTTAACTTCAATACATTTTCTGCAACAATTTTCGAATTCAGTTATGCCATATCTAAAATGGTTTTCTGAAAGCTTGTCAAAGTATTGGTTCACAGTCACTAATAACTTCTTCATTTGAGGAAAAATAGATGGAAGTCCGAAGGGGCTAGATCGGGAGTCCGAAGGGCCTAGATCGGGAAAGTAAGGAAGATAATTGATTAATTCATACCGTAAATTGTAAATTGTTTGAAAAAAACAAAGCCTTCTAAGGCCTAGCTCATCTTTCAAAATATGAAGTACTCGCTCAGTTGAGGTATTCATGGTATCAGAAATCTCACTCGAGGGTAATGTTCTGTTATTAATAACCATATCATGAATGGTATCAATCAGTTCTTCAGAAGTCGCACTTTTTAGACGTCCATACAGAGGGTCATCTTCTAGGCTTGTGCGACCACGTTTAAATTCTAATGCCTACTTACAGACCATTGTTTTAGATAGAGCAGCATCCTCTAACACATTCACCATTTCACTATAAATTTCCATCGCCTTCAAACCCTTTTACCATTTACCAATATAACTTATAATGAACATGTTACTTACCAACAACTTATAACGTACATGCTACTTACCCAGATTACGGGTATTCTCTGTAAAGATATTTCCCTTAAAATATACAATGTTTGCCAAAAAAATGTTTAAAAAAAAAAGGTTCTCGTTTTTGAATTTGGACAGCGCCCAAATAGGGTCGTTGTCGAAAACAGTCTAGAATAGCCCCTGTTACCATATATAATACCTTATAATACATATATACCTTATAAATATTTAAGATATTTTTAACTTTTAGATTTAAAATCTAAGATAATAGGAAATTTTTTTAAGAGAAACTGTTTTATTTAATTTAGTTTGTTATAGGATTGTTATTTGGTTTCAATACTTAATGATTTAGCTGGTAATTCGTTTATAATCTTTTGCGGCACCTGTAATAATGTTCAAAGGTATTTTTTTAATACTGTTTGATTATTGTTTTAAAAGATTTTGTAATTAGATTTTACTTCAATAATTTAAAACACTATTAACATAGCGTTTTAAAGTTGTATAATAATTCCAAAATTATTATTAATAAATAATAATTGTAATTTTTATTTCAGTTTTTTTAATTTTCTGGTTGATATGAAAAGAAAGAGAGTTAAAAACATTTTTATTATTTTTATGCAATAGTTTATAAAAATGTCTTTATTTAAAAGATTTTAAGTTAAAGCAATAAAGTTAAAAAAAAAGTACTGTGTTGCCAACAGAAAGTACTGTGTTGCCAACAGAAAGTACTGTGTTGCCAACAGAAAGTACTGTGTTGCCAACAGAAAGTACTGTGTTGCCAACAGAAAGTACTGTGTTGAAAACAGAAAGTACTGTGTTGGCAACAGAAAGTACTGTGTTGCCAACAGAAAGTACTGTGTTGGCAGCATAAAGTACTGTGTTGCCAACAAAAAGTACTGTGTTGCTAACAAAAAGTACTGTGTTACCAACAGAAAGTGAAGCTAAAAAGTTTAAAGTTGGCAAAATTCTAATCTTTGAAAAGAGTTGTTTTATTTTAAAAAGGAATAGGGCAAAATATATTTATTTTGCAAAGTAAATAGTTTTGCAAGGAAAAACAATATGTAAGAAAAAGACGCTAATTATCATAAAATGAATTTATATTAGAAATGAATCTACTTAGAAATAGAAAAATACAATCTATTGTATTAGTGATAATGACAATCTACTAATAAGTAGAAAGTTATAACTTTAATTTTTACTCTTTGATTTTGAGTTGCAACTATAAAACGTTGGAGTTGCAACTATAAACTGATGGAGTTGCAACTATAAAACAGTGGAGTTGCAACTATAAAACGTTGGAGTTGCAACTATTCTTTATTACTTAAGCATTAAGAAAATCGCCAAGCATGTTATTTCTAGCTCATAAAATTATAGTATGTTTTCTTCATGATTATGCATGCTCAAGATAACGTTGGTGAGAGCGATCGTGAAATTTGAAATTTACTGAAGACCATGCTCATAAAAAGCTTTTTATTTGTTATAGATCGTTCTTTTCAACAACAAATGTTTGAAGGAGTATTTACAACAGCGCACTCATGACAACATAGTAGATTTTTATACTTCACAACTTCTTGTTTGCGCCGGATTGTGATTTTTTTTCAACTATTTATGGTTAAAAAAAAAAAAGATTAAACAAAAATGCAAGTGCATTTCAAGTGTTCTTATTGGTGTTTTTATACTTGTATGTAAAAATAATTTTACTATTAAAAATAGTTTTACAAAAACGTTTACTATAACCTATCTTAATTGAATCAGCAAAATCATAGCTAAAGACAGCAACAATTATTTTGGTTATTTATTATTTATTTAAGTACACATTTTTTATGATCAATTTAAATCATTCAAAACTTTTTCTATAATATATTTTATAAACATCGATTTGACTTAGTGTCTTTAAAGGAAAAAATATTCACGGTTTTTTAACTAATGTTAAGTAACATTAGTTAACATTTTTAACTTTTTTAATGTTACAGATGAATGAATAATAAAAAAGAGTTAGCAATTTTTAATTAATGCTATGTAATTGTCGTTAGTAAAAAATGTTGTTTTAACTTCATCATTAAAAAAGGAATTCTGTAGAAAAAAAGAACGCAATAACATTGTTCAAAAACTGTTTCTTTAATTTTAATAAAGTTTAACTTTTTTTATCATTCGTTGACAATTTTTATTCTTTGACTTTCTCATAGTTTAGTTTAGTTTTTTCAGCACATTTTTGAAATAATTAAATATTAACATTTAACGATCAATTTAATAATTAAATATCAACATTAAAAAAATCTCTATTTATTTGTGTGAAATATTATAAACAATAAATTAAATAAAGCTTACTTGATTATCTACGTTAATCTTTTGTTAACTATCGTTTTTGCAAAATTTAAAATATTCTGCAGTTTTAATTTTTCTATAATGATATTCTAATTTTCTATTTATAGCGTATTTTTATATCGCAATATGTTTCCACATGCACTTGGTTAAAGTAGTTAACATTCCATTAATAAATTAGTGACTATTAACGACTTTCATGTTCAAAATGTTCATCCATTACAATAGTGCAAAACAGAAACTTGCAGAAAGCGAGTGATGCAGTGCTTTATATATCAGCATTTTTAGTTAAAGATATAATATTATTTTTCAATAATATTATATCTTTAACTAAAAATATTTGTTAAAAATATTTTATAAAAAATCAAAAAACAATATATTATTTGTTCCGTTGCAAACTTTTTGACAAGCATAATTTTATACTCTTGTTAAAAGCTGAACGAGCGTTGTTTATTCCTCCTAGAAGGTTTGAAAATACTGTTTATGGGCGCATTTCACAAGCACAGCGCGGTCACTCCTGCTTCTTCACAAGACCTACTTAAGTACTAAATGCGATGTTCAATAAGTTTCCTCTCAATCGGAGTTTATTAATAGATTACGCTTTTTATGAGGCTATCAAAACTTGTACCTAGGGTCATATAGTTTGCTTGTACATAGGGCCATATGTGTGTAAAGAATTTCCTTGATAACAAGGTAGATTTCTGAATTTGATTTGTGTAGAATTTTTTTTTTCTTGCAGTTGTTTTGAGACTACCATTTTAGGTTTAGACTTATTTTTCAATTTTGCTCAGAATTATTATTCAATTTTATTATCTATTTAAAATAAATTTATTGTGTCTTTATTTGTTGTCAATTTATTATGGGGTTAAAACGTAATTTTCAGAGAGCTAGATTTAATAGCTAATGGCCCTAGGTACAGTTTAAAAAAATGCTTGTACCTAGGGCCACTATATTTTAAACCCTTCTACGTGACTGACTTTATAGTTTAAGTCAAAAACTTATACTAATACTAAGTAATTAGTATAGAGATGCGATTATATCAGTTTAAGTATTTTTAGACAACTTGAATTTGGGGGCCTTGAATTTGGGGGTAAAAATCTAACCCTAGGTACACAAACTTATTTGATATTAATGTAAAATTTAATTTGAGGTTTCTTTCATTGAATCCAAGGGTTCAATTATCTCAATCATTGCTCATTTCATTAAGTTATTTAAAGTGAGTTAAATATCATTGTTTTTATATGTTTTAGTATGCAACAACAAAATTGGATTGATGACTCATTTATGTTAAATATGAGTTTAAGTTTTAAGGCTAGCTGTTTATTTTTTAAATTGGCTAGTGTGTGTTTTTGGGTATGAAACACATGATCTAAATGTTCCGTAAAACTCATTCTTGCTTAACTCGTCATTCAGCAAAGTCTCATTCTTTTACTGTATCTGTCCCTGCATGTTCTAAACATTTTTATTCATCTAGTTTTTTTTCCTGCACTTTAACCCTTTGGATCTGCCATCTTCGTGTTCTTTAGTTCTTTCTTTAGGTAACATGGCCAGATCCATGTATTAGAAATTTAAAAATCTTTAGTAATGGCACTAAAGATCAAAAAGTTTTCTAACTTTCTAAGACAAAATATGAAATTCCTAATAAACTGAGAATAAAAGATGTTCAATTTTGAGAAGAGAACAATGAAGAACAAACAGTGAAGAGTTGGTAAGCAAAAAAAGTATAGTCAGAGGGTTCAAACCATTTCATGATAAATAGGTGAATTGGTGCAATTATTCATAAAAGATAAGTTTAAACAATTAAGTTGTGGTGATGGTTTTTTATACCATACATTTTTAGATACTTGATTCATGTTTAAAGTTATAAAAGAACTTGACTCAGTTATTGATAGTGCAGGACACCCTAAGCAGAACATCACCATAGCAATATGCTATGCAATTGACTCAGTCAACCCAAATTAACCCAAACTTAACTAAGGGCTCTTTATGTAGTCTCAACAATACACACCAAAATTCACTAACAGGGATACCATTCATGTGCAATTAGGATTTGTTAGTTCTTTAATATTTTACAGCTGCCAATTGAATCAACCTCACTGAGAGCTACTACAATGTTAGAGAGTTCTTACTTTCAGCTGACCTCAGTATCATTAAACTTAGTTTTAGAGTTGTACCCTCATTAGGATATAGAAAGAAGAGTTATTTAACAAGTAACAATGAGGCACAAGCAAAAACCTACCAGTAGAGTTAAGAAAATCCAGTATCATGCTTTACAGGAAACAATGTAACAAACAGTTTTCATCTATGCCAGCCTAATAAATGAAAAAGGGGTGTGAGGCTGGTTGACAGAACTTTTTTGCTCGGCCCTAAAGTCTTTGCCCAGGAGGAGGCCCTAAAGTCTTTGCCTTTTACAAAAAAGTAGGTGAATGCAGTTAACTTGTTTTATACTACACTCCTGGTACAACTCCATATACACTGTATACTCCTGATACAAGTATTTATACAAGCTTCTTTATTTATACAAGCTTCTCTATTTATACAAGCTTCTCTATTTATATAAGCTTCTCTATTTATACAAGCTTCTCTTTTTATACATTCTTCTCTATTTATACAAACTTCTCTATTTATACAAGCTTCTCTATTTATACAAGCTTCTCTATTTAGGGTTAAAGGCTTAGAAAGAAGTGAAAGAAATCATTCCAAAAAATCTAGTAAAAAACCTATAACTTGTGAATTTAGCTATAAGTTACAGCATTGGATCTGTAGATTATATATTTTAACAAGTCAAACCTTTTTCAAATTTTTGAAGTTTTTTTCAATTTTTTTTTTTTTTTTGTTAACATTTCTAATCGCTATAGCCAGTCAAAGCCTTTGTAAAAGAAGTGACAATCAAGTTTTAAAAAATTTTTGCAAATCTTTGCAATATTTCTACAGATTAAACAGTTATAATGCTTCTTTTCTAATATTGGTTGTATTACTCACATTATTTTTTAATTTCAGTTTTTTCACATCATCTGCTTTAATATCTTTACTATTTTTTAAAATTTTACATTTAGAGTTTGTTTATTATTGCGGCATCTTGGGTTTCATGCTGTTCCATTGCATGGTCAGATGACTCAGGTAATATTTGTATTACAATTCTTTACATAACTGTAAAGTTTATTAATGGTTACATTTTTTTTTTAATTGTTATTTGTTGTTTTTTTTAGGCAAAAAGATTAGGTGCTTTAAATAAATACAAATCAAAATCACGAACAATTCTTATTGCTACTGATGTAGCAAGTCGTGGGTTAGATATTCCTCATGTTGATATTGTTATTAATTTTGATATTCCAACACATTCAAAAGTAAGTCTTAAATATTTTTTTGTTTTTTTAAATCAGTTTTTGTTTTAAAAAATATCAAAGTTAACATTTTTATGACAACAATTATTTTATTATTATTAAAGAATTTATAGTAGTTAATATTTAATTTGTTATAGTTCTTAAAGTACTTTTTCTATAATACCATGTATAACATTAAACATTTAACATAGTGTAAACAATAATTTTAATGTACTACTTTACTTTTTTCTAGGCTTCTTTTACATTGGTATGCATATTTATAAATTAAAAACTTTACTTTTTTAAAACAAAGAGTTTCCTTCAATGTTCCTAAAACAACATTGTTTTGTTAATCTGTAGAATATCCTGCACTAAGATAAATATGCTTAAAAGTAAAAGGTTCTTTTAACAAGAGAAAATGGTTAACAGATAAAATATTCTTTAAATTTATTATGCATTTTTTTAAATTTTTGAACTTGAAAGAAGATTTTTTTAAATTTTTGAACTTGAAATTTTTTGGTTCTTATTGAACATCAATCTTATGCCCAAAAAATAAACGTTTTGTATATATATGTGACAATCAAATTATTATGTCATCATTGCTTCCTCATACAACACACAACTTGCAATTTTGCAATTGGTTTCTGAAAACTGCTCCAGATATTACAATCAGTACATAATAATTGGTAGAGAAATTATCCTGGTAAAACTGGAATATCAAGGCGTTTCTATAGTTGTCAACAGCCCACTCTGACTTTAGGTAAAGTGAAAAATTGGAGGTGCTTGTTTTATGCTTTTTTGAATATTGTTGTGTTCTAAATAATTGTTTTCAGTAATTTTTTACTTTTTGTTTCATCTAGGGAAACAATTTTTTTTTAACTTCATCCAAATTGCACTTTAAATATATCATGTCCTTAAAGCGAGACCTCTTGTCTTCTGTAGGAACTGGTAATGCACGCACTACATCGGTATAGGTGATGAATGCAAATTCTTTATTAGTTCTTATAAATATATTGAAAGGGATTTTCTTTTTGTAAAACTCTACTTCATAACCATCTTTCACTTTTTCAACAACTTTTGCTGTATAGTTTTGACTTGATTGCTTTCCGCATCCATATACCACTACAAATATAAATCTTCCTTCCGGCACATCAAAAGTATCAGCGTTGCTGTCATTGAATCCATTGTCATCAAAGTTTGAATCCATTGTCATCAGATAACCGTTTGTTCTAAAAAAAAATTGCACCAACTCTAGCAGAGTTTATAACTAGGATTTAAATGATTCATTTGGAATTGAAAATTTTACATCAAAGAACAAAAAAATCGTTTTTTCACTCTAAAATCTGTCTTTAGCAGGAAACTGTCACCTAACTTTTTTTGCATTTAGAAATTAATTCTGATTTTTTATTTAAAAATATTTTTCATTTAAATGGGTAGTTATTTCAAATTTTTCTCGCGGACGTAACACATTTTTTTGAAACATTATAAGCATGAGCATATAATAATGTTTCAAATGTTTCAGGAGAAGACACTAATTTAATTCAAAATTAATATTTTTTTTTCTTTTAGTTTCTAAGTAAATTTTGACAGCATAGTGTCTTTTGAGTATTTTTTTATGTTTATAAGATTGTTTGTGATAGGCTAATGTTTTTTCTTCATTTAACCTCGGTTATGCCGATTCTGCCATATGTTTATGGATTTGTAAGAGAAATGTTATATCAAAAAATCAAGTTATAGGTTTTTGTATAAATAAATAAAAAATTTTCAAATACAAATTTTTAGGATTATATACACAGAGTGGGAAGAACTGCTCGTGCTGGTCGGTCTGGAAGATCAATAACGTTTGTCACTCAGTTCGTTTATTCTTTGGTATTTTTTGATTAAAATCATATCCTGAGGAAAAATTCATTCAAATATTTTTTGCTTTATAGATATGATGTTGAATTGTATCAACGAATAGAACAGTTAATTGGAAAAAAGTTGCCATTGCATCCTATGGTAGAAGAAGAAGTAATGCTTTTAGTCGAAAGGGTTACCGAAGCCCAAAGATACGCGAAAATGGTGACTTTTTTTGTTTATTTGAAATATGTAAATAAATAAAGTTAATAAAATAAAACAATAGTTAAATAAGATTCTTTTCAAGTAATTAAAAAACTATAAAAAATTTTGTATTTTAATTTTAATTTGTTCTCCCCAGTCTTGCTTGGTGAAACCGTTTAAGATCTTACTGGTTTTTTTATTTAATAATTTTACTGTTTTGTTTTTTTATAGGAGTTAAAACAAGTGCATGAAACTAAGCGTAAAACAATCGATATAGATGACGAAGAAAATTCGACAGAAAAAATTTCTAAAAAGATGAAAATGGATCATGAAAATAAAAAGTTCAAAAAAGGAAAATTCAAACACAAAAAGAAATAAAGTGTAATCTAATATGTATTATTCAAAACAAGCCAATTAACCAATTGATATCAGCCAACAATCCGATTAAAATTAGCCAACAATCGGACAATTTTCTATCTTATGGACAAGCTTAACATATGGGCAACTGTATTGACTACAAAAACTCGTAAACCAAGTTCAAAGAAATCTACAAGTGTACAAATTAATTGTAAAATAATCTTAGATTTAAATAATTATTATGTTTTCTCTGGAGTTCCAGATAATCTTCCACTGTCCGTCGTCTATTTAAAATTATTTTTGATAATCTTAAATATAAAGATGGTTTTTCTAATGCGAAAAAGAGAGTAACTTAGAATCAATTGTTACCATAACTTGAATGGTACCAACCATGCAAGTCTTGGTAGTCTTATCATTATATTTACATTATGTTTAAGTAAAGACAAATTTATAGGGTTCGGAACTTATGGCAAATATATGCGCATACCATTCAAATGTTATGCGCATAATATGCATATGATGCGCATACAAATTTAACAGAATAATGGTATATGAAATTAATTAAATAGTGTCAAATATAGAAAAAAATGTTTTTTTAAATCAAACGCAGGTGACATTAAGTTAAAAGAAATAATTTTTCATTTGACTTTTCGTCATTAATTTTATTTGTAATCATTATAAATTATTTTCATGATTTTAAAACGAATTTCTATATCACAAAACATAACTTTAATTTGCATTTATATTGCATTGGCTCGTTTATAATTTCTTTACATTCAAACTCGCTAAAAACTGCTACTTTCTCTAAAATGCATCCATTTTTGCCGTTAGTATCCATCAAAACACTATTGATATATATATGAAAACTAATTTTTTTACGCGTTCGTTTGTCGAGATATTTCTCAATCGTGAATGAATAAATCAAAAAATCGGCCAAATTCTCTCTGCTGTAGCTAACGAACAAATCATTTCAATATTAGGTTTTGCTATTTCAAAGACTGGACAGTTTTCATATATACCAATAGTGTTTAGATGGATACAAACGATAAAAATGACTACATTTTTTATACAGAGAAAGCAGTATTTCTTAAACTATAAATCTTTCAGTTCTTTAAATTAAAGCACTTTTATAATTAACAACTTAAAGTTATGAATTATAAAAATGCTTTAATGAAAGAGACTTAATAGTGGAATTAAAAGTTGTTAACTTTTAATTCCTCTATTAAAACTAATGATTTTTTTGTTCCAAACCCAGTGGAAAATGAATTAGCGACTAGCTAGCTTTATAGCAATTTTTAAGCGATTTTTTTTCTTATTTTATTTTTTTCTAATCTTTAACATCTTTAAAAATTCGATTTTTAAAAATTCGATTTTTAGTGTTGAGTTAATTATAATTATGAGAATAATTAAACTTTAAATATTGCGATTTTGTAGCAATGTGTTGTTAGCTACATATCGTAGCTTTGTAGCTAGCTACAAAATATCTACAAATCTATAGCTCATTGATAGCTACATATCAAAGTTTTTAACACAGCGATTTTATAAAGATATGACGCTAGCTACAATAGCCAGTCAGTCTTTAGCTTATGAAGCTACCTGTCTTCGTAGTCAAACCGCTGTCTTTGTCTTTACAAATAACGATAGCTTTTCGCTAACTTAAAAAAGCTAGTGATCCTCGTGACCAAACCGCTGTCTTTATCGTTACGATTATAGCTAGCTATTCGCTACCCGATTTCTCACCGGGAAAGCACATTTTATTAAAAATTTCTATTTCTCGCCGGGAAAGCACATTTTACTAAAAATTTCTACTTCTCACCGGGAAAGCACATTTTACTAAAAAACTCTATTTCTCACCGGGAAAGCACATTTTACTAAAAATTTCTATTTCTCACCGGGAAAGCACATTTTACTAAAAATTTCATGAAAACTAGAGTTAAAATTTGTTTTTTGGTCTGTCGTCTAGTTAAAACAATTTAACGGTTTTAATTCGGGTTGTTCACTTTTGCAAAAGTTAAGTTTTTGATTTAAAAAAAAAACTTTCCAAAACTCTTTTTTTTATTTCGGTAAGTATCAAACGATTTTGAAACAATTAATAATTATTTAATTTTTAAACCGAAATGAATTTTGCAACAAAATTTAAGATATTCTATCGGTACATTTTTTAAGTGTCGAAATCCTAAAAATAGCTCCGAAATTATTTTTCGCTTTCAAAAACTTTGAGAATTGTATCAAAATATATTTACATTATCCAAAATTTACCGAAACAATTTTTTACTTTCGAAACTCTATAATTTGTATCGAAATATTTTTATATTATCGAAATTCTATAAATGGCGCCGAAACATTTTATCACTTTCGAATATCTATAATTTGTATCGAAAAAATTTTATGCGATCATAAAAATTAAAGCGATCGAATTGTAAAAATAGCACCGGAGCAATATTTCATTTTTGAATCTCTAATATTTGCATCGAAATATTTTGATATTATCGAAATCATAAAAACGGTATCGAAACAATTTTTTACTTTTGAATTTCTTAAAATCACTTCAAACTATTTATTTTAAATAAAATAACTTTAAATTTAACTTAAAATCACTTTGAACTACTACATTCATTCTTAAAACTGCATTTAAATGAAATAATAACAAAAAATATAACTCGGACAAATTTGCAAAACGAATATATATCTTTGTTCGAAGTGGCTGTTCAAATGTATGAAAAACATTCTGCTTGGGAGAGAAAAACAACAATAGTTTAGTGTAATGTTGTTTGTTTCCCAGATGTTTTCGACTTAAATACGATAATCTTAGGAGCGATTTTTACATTAAAAAAGTTGACAGAACAAAACGAGGTAAAAAGATTTCTCACCTTTGCATGTGCTGGATGCGTGTTAATAGTGAAACTATATAATAAATATGTAATTATTGTGTTAACAGTGAAATTGTATAATAAATTTGTAATTATTTTCTTATTGTTGTGCTAAGAGAAGACGATTTTTTGTCCGGCCTTTTTCTGTAACGTGATATTTTCGCTAATGCATTTTTCCATCGAACGGAACAAATATGTTGCTGTGGCCTTTCTTTGATCTTAGACACAGACACATTAAAATAGTGCATTGTTTTCGCTAGTTTATTTATAGTTTAGTTGATCTTAAAATTTTTAGTTTAGAATTAGTTCAAATTTTTACAATTGCAATATGATAAAAAATAAGATATTTATAGAGAATGAAATCAATTTAAACCTGTCTTTCTCAATGTTACCATTTGGCAACACAAACTTTAAATTCAAAAATCAAACCCTGTTTTATCTTTTTTTTAATTTTAGGTAATGCTTAAGTTTTGCTACTTCCTACTAGATGGCAGCATGTGCAATTTAAAAATAAACTCGCCGATTAGCAATTGTTTTTTTTTTTTAATTTTAAATATCGGAAAAGAAAGGGTGAACTTTTTTCATTGTTTACAATTTACATTACATTTTTATTGAATTTTTTTTCGAAACTATTATAGTTTCCCTTATAACACAATAATTAAAAATTGTTTTAAAATTATTTTTTTATGCCATACTTTTTAAACTAACTTTTTTTGGCTAGCATTTTGGCATGGTGATACAACTACAGCGTGAAAGTTCTCCAGAGTTTATGCTAACTTTTTTTTTTGTTTCAACGTGTTTTTATTGTGTGGCTAAAAGGTGTCAAGACAGTACGTGACCAAAGATACATGTGTATATAAGTATTAGTTTTATTGCTTATTTATAAATCTTATTTAGTTACTTAGTGGAAATGTCACGATCACGACTATATGGTTGCACTTATTGTTACATATATATATATATATATATATATATATATATATATATATATATATATATATATATATATATATATATATATATATAAATACCAACTACTAAAAATATTTTAGTTTCGAAAATAAAAACGTTTTTTTTTTTAACAAAAAACTCTATGGAGATAAAAAAAACAGATGAAGCAAGCAAAACCTAAAACAGGAATTTCTTTTACATCGTTGTATGCCAGATTTCTAATTAATAAAGTTTGTTGATAACAAAGTTTTTATACTTGATAGAAAATAGAAAAATTAAAATAAACTAACAAGTTTTCAACAAAATCGCTAATGTACGGTGAAAAACGAGAAAATTGAAAACAAGTTGATATATATAGATGAAGATGATACTAAAAATTCTTACATAATAAAACTGAAACCCATACGAAACTTTTATGAAATCCACAAAAAAAAAAAGGCCTCTCATTTCCTAATTTGCTGACATGTGACAGCAAATTAGGAAATGAGCAAATTATAAAATGTTCAGTTGTCAAAATCCTATTTTGACAACTGAACATTTTATAAAAGGTCCTAATTTACAGACTTTTTTATTGAATGGAGTATGTCACCCTCCTACACTCTTCCCACACATACTCTTCACGCCTTGTCTACATTTAGCCATCAATATTTATTCGTATTTAAAAGGAGTAGGAGATTTTGAGAGCTGTTTTGACCAAATTTTTATTACGGCAAAACAATTCTTATTTGTAACCCCCCTCAATTTAAAAGGATTAAAAATTTTATTTGGTCATAATTTTTGAACGCTGAGAGATAATACTATGAAAGTTAAGAATAGTAAGAATCTTATTTTATTAACTTGGTGCCTTTCGCATTTGGAGTGGGGGAGGGGGTATGTGCTGAAATAAAGTTAAAGGGTTTTTTTCGTTCCCAGCCTCAAACCATCGCAATTTTTTGCAAAGCGTCATTATTTGACATAAATATAAACATACAAATGTTTGGAGTTTTCTCCAAGTCTTAAAGTTAACTATCTCAAACACCAAAAAATCCTGGATCCGTCACTGATCGCAATGATAAAGTTTTTAAAGTGATAAAAAATATTTTAAAAACTAAATCATTTAACAATCGTAGGAGAACATCAGCAGTTACAAACCATATGAAAAAAACAACAATTAGGGGAGAGTGTGTATGAAAGAGCCAGGTTTTGAAAGAACCGATGCTATTATGTCTCACTTACTGGCAGCCAACCATAAATAAGTCACTTTTTTATGCTATGAAAAAGCCGGCCTTTTCTATTTATCTTTTTTTTTAAATTAAATAATTGTTTGCGCATTAATGACTTCATCGTTTTTCGTATTGCTTCATTGATCATATTCTATTGAATATATTGTTTGAATGACTTTTTCTGAAGTCGTAAAACGAAGGGGCGTTTGAATC